AGAGCGGGCTGTTATCGAAAAGAGCCGGATAAAGAAATAACTAACCATGGCAGCCGAAAATGTCAGTGACATGCAAATGACAAGTGCCAGAGATGGCCTCTACAGCAGGCAGTACACTTCGCGGATGCAAAAACGATTCCCACTTGCTGATGACCAATTCCTGCAAAAAGCAAAAACTCGAAATTTAATTTTTTTGCGAAATTGCCACGCCATAGTGCAACCGCAGGAGACTGTTGTCGGCCGATACTGATGGATGTGAAACGGGAAGAAAGGATTGCTTCTGGGTCGTCACGATGGACGGCACATAACATACAGATATGGGATTCGTGCTACTGAGACTGCTCCGACATCGCAATAAATCTGAGGAAAATCTTGCCAATATGACGCCATTTCTTCTATGTCCATCTGCCTTAGAATATGGAAAGATAACTTGGAAGAAAGTGAAAGGCGACTTCACATTTTCTGACCAAATTTTAACTCCTCGCTTTAGTAATCTGGGGCTCAAAATCACATCTGCGAATAGATAGACAAACAGGCATACAAACACATACATATCAGTGACGCATCTATGGTGCGCAACAAGCTGACCAGCCTTCCAACCTGAGATGGATACCTTAAATTGGTACCCATCACTTGTTTAAATTGTATTTTCTTCTTCAAAGGCCGCTCTAGCGATCGTTTACTTCGCCGTGGGTGATACGCACTGCTTTTTTTGACCGACCGTTACTTTCCGTGATAGTTGTATATAATTTCCGCGTTTGCTTCTACCGTAAGTGTTCGCAAAAAAGAGAGCGCTCCATGCTTAGAATATTCTTTCTTTTCATGTTTCCTCCTTCTCGCAGTGTTTTCTCAGTCGCTGAGGCCCAAAAACTGAGCCAGAGTTGAGCACAGTCTGTGATTTTAAACGCTGAAGAAAACTGACTCAAACAGGCATGAGAAGGACAAAAAAGCTGACAATCTCTTTGTCAGAAGAAACAAACTTCAGTGTCGCCAGCAGCTGATCAGAGGGGCATGCAACACTGGTTAAACCAGTCGGAAAATTTGCTGACTGCCGAGCTGGAGGACCACACTCTGAACTGCAGTTGATCAAAATGACGTGCAAAGTACTAACCGTCTCCGCGTCTTCCTTGCCACTATGCAAATAATATCCGATAAAGTAACGAAAACTGACAGGATCCGGTCCAACTTCTACAACGCCCACCCAACGGCGCCTCCTGCAAAAGGAACACTTTTGGAAAAATGACAACCTTAGGATTTTTTGAATTTTTAGGTTTTGGCAAAGTCACAAATAGATATAATGCACAGTTTCGCATGATTCCTAAACAATGTTTACTATCTATGAGGTAAAGCCAGAGAAATAATTCTGAAATAAAGACAGCCGCCTGCTTCTGTTGGGAGAACAGCTGCACTGGTGATCCCTTTAAGAAACAAAAAAAACGGCAAGCTGACTAATACAGTACTGATCAGAGCAACAGAAAAGCAGTAGGCTGTACTGACGGAGAACAAGAACAGCCGATTAAAATCAGTAACAGTGTATCAGCGCCCACTCTTTTGTTAACGCTTTTAAAATAAAGAAAAAAGCAAGAAAACTCCGAATTTCCAATTTAAAAGCGCGAATCACGAGAGCCATGTAGAAGGACAAAATAAAAATCCAGTTATAACGATTACTCACCAAAACTCGAACCTGTCTGGATTCCGCAAAATTCTGAATTTTCCTCCGTTTCATCGATGACACTTACCTGCTCTCTGCAGGAATAACACGCAGCTAGATGGGCTTGCCTGAATCCTAATCGTAAGCCAAGTATTTCCAAAATAGCTCGGGCTATCTAAACGCAATCCCGATGTCACTGCTACTTCAGAACTCACATGTCGAGTCAACCATGTCAGCTCTTCCGAAGCTAAGTTACGTGTATCTAGCTGATATTCGCGTCTTCGAAGGCGTTTCTCTCTCAAGAGGGAGGGGGGGG